CCCAAGACTCTCCCACTTCCTCTTTCTTTGTATTATGACTGACTGCAAAGGAGTGTGTGTGCCTGGCTGCCATGCATGGCCTTATTGTTTGTCCATGACCCTCAGCTGTACTGTATGTAGCTTTTCAGACCGTTCCTTGTTGTCTTGCCAGGCATCTCGTTCTCTGTTCCAGTTCTTTCTCAACATTTATTTTCCTTTCCTTTGCAAACAAGTGTTTGTTTTACACGCAGGTCGTCTGATTGTGCCTTGGAATTTTGTTATTATTGTTATCGTTAATGTTAGCTCAGCTGACCCACACCAGGAGGATAAGCGGGAAATCTTTGCTAAGTTAGACAGCTGACTTATAGAAATGTCCCTCTTTAAAAGTACGCCCGCTCTAAAACTCTGATCCTCTGAAATATCTGGAGACAACTGAGAGGCTTGAAAACCGGCCTTAAACTCCTCCAAAGGAAATATCTGAATTTGTTTCTTTAAATGCCCAGATTTGATTCAGACTTGTCATTATTTATTCTGAGGGGCAGATCTAACAGCAGAGCAGTCTGGGAGGCAGCCAGCCCCTCCTGGAGAGGTACTGTAAGCACAACTTTCCCTATTCCGCAGTGCTTGTTTTAGGAAAAGGCTTTTACATGTGGCTCACATCTGCATCCAGAGCATGAAACTGCTTCACTGACACCTATTTATACAGGAACAAATGTCAGTCTTAGTGTCTTTTGTGTGCAAATTGTTGACAATAAATTGACTGATCTTTCCTCGGTAATGAGGCGTTCTGTCATGACGGCAGTGAGGTGAATGTATGTTCAACATTGTGTGCATACGAAGATACCTGTGTGCAAGGAAGGGAGGGAGACAGTGAGAGACAGCACAACAATGTAAATATGCAGATGTACACGTTTAGCATAATCTGTAAAGAGTAGCTCTGCCAGATGTTCCTAATTGGGATTACTCACTTGAGTATGCATGGACAAAATCATCTTGCACGTGTCTTAAGTTTCTGTCAAACAAGGGAACATTTTCTCTTGGAAAGTCTCCTTTATTTGCATTGGACTGAAGAACAGACGGACTGTTTGATCCTCCTGCCACTTGCAATTAACCTGTTACAACACATTGGCCAAGCCTGAGTTGCTGACATTGTGTAGCTTCTGTGACTTCAACACACTTAAATAGCGCTATTTTGAACTAGGATTCAATGTGCACCACTTATGCTCACGTTACAGATAAAAACCAAAATATCATAACCACTCACATGAAGGTAACCGTTGGTTTGACAGTTTTAGGCCACCCTGCTCACACCTCGGTAAAATATTCCAATCAGGAAACCATGTCACATATCTCTTTGCCTTTTTGGATAGAAATACTGGACACAAGTCGGAAGATGAGCTTTTCTTTTTTTTTTTCAGTGGGCTCTTTGAAGGTGGAGTAATCATCTTCTCAAGGAAGAGCCACGCTTCACATGAGCACAGGCAAGAACAAATACATTCCATACATCTTCTACCGTCCCTATTTTTGCCCCCTGATTGACACATTTAAGGTATCAACCTGAATATCTGCTATTCTGGTAGAATTCACTCACTGAATGGAGTGACGCCGCAATTTGAATGTATGCTTAAAGATTTTCAATTTCACTCCTGTAGTTGGGTGGGTTATAGTCACAGGGAAGCCAGTTGGAAATGAATGGTTATTATAAATCAAATGTCTAAGATTTGTCTAAGGTTTGTTTTAAAAGCACAGAGGCCTAAAATAACTCAATAATTATATGAGTCACCTTGCCACTCAGGAAAAACTTATTTTTTTCTCCACCAAAGTACCCACTCCATCTTTGCAAAAACACATTCACAGTGTGGCTATGTACATGTAATATTTTTGGATCATGAGGGGAAAAAACCCACTCCCTGTCAAATTTTATGTTTTGTTCATCTGCCAAAGTAAAGGTTTGACAAGAAGGAACACAGTCATTACCACTGGCAACCATAACTTTTCACCTCGGTGCTGACGGCTTCCCTGACTGCATCACTGCTATCTGATTCCCATCCAACCATGGTAGGACAGGCGGCACAGGCACAGCACATAAACAAACAGGTGAGTAAGTGAAAAAATACAATTAAACCCAAATATACGGCACATGCACATGCACACACACACATACGCACACACACGTATATATACAGAACAAACAGATGCAGAAACACACACAAACTCTGTCTGCCTCCTGTCTTTCTTTCCTTCTCCTCAGGTATATATGGTTTCTTTGACACAGTCTGCCAGTCTGCTGCCATGCAGCGCCACATTTAGCTCTGCGAGGAGCGCCAGACTGCAGCAGAGCAGAGCACAGTGAGGAGGTTATTAATGGCCTTCCTTATTTTAAACGACAGTGTGAAAACACCGGTGGCACCATGCAGACCCCGCTAGCTGCAAGCTTGTCTTTCATCCCATCTGTCTTCACGGCACTCTCCTTGGTCCTAATGGGCCCGTGGCTGTCGCTCTGTGAGTTTACTCCTAACTGATATGTTGGACCTCTGCCTTAATTATTTGAAGTCAGCTGCATTTTTTAAACTTAATATCATCCAACAATGTTCCAAAACTGCCCCATTACAAAACTTTATGTTGTGAAACTTGATTTTGGGGTTGTTTTCATAAACTCTAATATTAAAAGATGATATTCCAATCCAATGTCATGCTCATGAAGGTGTCAGAATCAAAACGTCACGCTCTTTTCTCAAGCCTCCAGGTTATCTCTCTGCCCTTTACCTCTCTCTCCTGCATTTTCTTCCTTTTCACTCTCCTCCTCGTCCTCTTGCCTTTCATTCCTCAGAGCCTCTGAACGCCACCTATCACCGCACCCTGCTGTGAGTTTTGACACCTGTCTGATGTATGCCTCTCTTTCCTCTCACAGGACCTGGACGCACATGGATGGCCTATCAATCACTCCAGCAGCCCCTTCTCCCGGCAGAGCTCAGCCAATCACAAGTGACCGCTTTTAATCTAAACATGATGTGTCAGAGCGTAAAATGAGTGCGTGCGTGACTGAGCAAGCACACGCACATGTGTTTGAACATGATGTTGTTTTTTCATGCAGAGTGTTTGTGTTTTTGGGCAAGTGTATGGTCACACTGAAGTAATAAAAGATGTCAGCCTCATACAGACACACACGCATGCACACACACACACACACGCACACACAGAATATCTCCCTTTTCCGATGCTTCATGACCAATAAGTTGCTGTTCCATATATCAGCATGAATGTAGCATGTACTTTACCACGTGTGGGATGACATTTGCTAATGCAAATAGATATGTAATTATTATCCCTGCACCTGTAAAACACACAGAACATTTATTTAACAAGACTGTATTCATATTGTGTCACATGGTGTCAGTGGGCCAGTGCCTGTATATACAAGATTAAGTAGTACTTGTCTGGGGAATAACAAAGACTGGCAGCCTGAGTCACAACCCATCGCAGCCCTCCAGACATCATAACACTGTCGGACATCGATATGGTGGAACCCATTATGGATTGGTCATTTCACTCCACTGCCGCTCAGAAGCAAATGAGGAGTGACGACTCCGCTCCCTGGTGAGGATCCTAAGAGGAAAGCTGGGACATTTAAAATCAAAAGCTTCCGCTCTCCATGGTTTGTCGGAATAGCTGGTATGGTATATTGAGGAAACGGGGGGTGGGGGGGGGGGGTGGGGGTCACATCCTGTCCTGAGAGACTTTCACATCAGTAGTGCAGGCTTCTCCTTCTCTCAAATGGCACTATGGACCTGGAAGTCTGGGGGATTGGGTTCAGTCTTCATCCAACCCACAAAACCTACCACTTCAGTGGCTCCCTGAGGTACTTTGATCTTTGGTGTTTTGGCTCTGCCTGCATATCCGCCGGGTGAGAGCAAATGTGAAATGATTCATTGCCGTTGAGGTTTTAGTGCATTGTTGTCGGTTATAACATGAAGGTATTATGACCCGTATTGAGCTGCTCAACGGCCTTATGTTTAAAATTCGTCGTGCGTAGCTGTTCCATTTGTGGACACATGAAGAGAAGATTTCCTGTCTAAGTCTGCAGCTAGAAAATATTATTTACGTCTTTACGTTTTCGAGACTTCGCTTAGAAAAATAATCTGAGTGGTGTGGTGCACGAGGCTGGGATAAATCAGTACAAGTAAACATGCTTTTGAGTTATGTTCATGTTAGTTAAAAAGAACTCTTCAAGAATAGGAATAAATATGCAGCACCACCTCCACAGCCACCACAGAATTACAGCAGGAAATCCAATACTAACATTAGTCTGAAAGATACATTTGTCAGATACTTGAAGCAGATGCTATTCGTTGTACCTGGATGATTCATGTTTGAAACCCATCATATTGATTATGATGATAAAAACCTAATATAATCACTTATATATACTAAATGTACAATGCACAAACATTTTAACCTGAGGAATATCTCACTGCCACAAGCAAACGTGTGAGAGATGGAGATTGTAGTATTTTATTGCAAAAGGAACTTTTCCTAACAACCTGAGGTAGGAAAATATATATATATATATAATGCACAAAGAAACAGAGACAACAATACAATGAATTGCCCATTATAAAGATTGCAGCTTGAAAGAAAGCTGAGAGCTGGTAAAAATATGAGCAGGTATATTTGTTGATTTACAATCACCATTCCCCAACATACCGCATGAAATAAAACTGTCGTGTAGTATTGTTTCTGTTTATCAATGTCAAAGGGAGATGAATAGATATGACCTGAAAACAACTTTGGTGTAGCGGCGTCCGGTAAAACGCAATGCATGGTGAAGTCAGGCACATAGGTTTTGTTTAGAGAATGACAACTCTGAAGGATGAGCGTACTTCCCGACCTGCAGGGAGTTTTAACTAAACCACATTATCTGCAAAAAAAAAAACAAAAAAAAAACAAACAAACCCCCATCACACTGGTAATTACAATAACAATACAAAAAAAAAACAACATATAGCAGCATCCTTTATAAATCATATCGATGTAAAGCATAATCATATAAAAATATATGTATAACAATCTGTTCTCCAATCATTAAAAAAGTACAAAACATGACGAGACACCTCTCCAGAGCACCAGTAAAAATGTGCCAGACAATAAAAATGATATTCATCCTTAAGTGCCATTATAATGTTATATCATAGGATTTCTATAGTCAGTATTCATACAGAGCTATTTGTTAAAAAGGCAATGGCACAAAGACAAAACATGTGTAATATTATTAACAAATATGTACAACATAATATTACTGTAGCAATCCATTCAGAGATATTTACAGTTTATAAAATTTCACCGCCAAGGATGACAAAATTAAAACTCCATGCAAGGGAGAAGAAACAGGTTCTTATTGTGTATGTGTCAAGTTTTTGTTGCTGGGTTTACACTGTCATGGAGACGACCCCTAACCCCTGGTGTGTAGCAAAGCCAGAAACATTTCACTCATTGAGTTTGACAACAGGGCTTGATTACCGCCTATTCAACAGCACAAGTGCACTTTCTGTTTGGCGAAGCCGCCCTCTGGGGCCACTCAAATCACAGCGAACACCCGGAACGCCTTCCCTCCAGGAGGGTTTTGAAGGCTGCAGGGAAGAGAGAAACAAGAGGGGAGAGTCAGCCTGGGTGCGGCATGTGTCAGATACAGAACACGTCCCAGCCTTTTGCAGAGAGACGTAGATGACAGACACACACAAACAGATAGACTTCAGGTTTTTACTGAGAAACGTCCTGCGTCAGTGTGTTGTCTGACACTCTGATGACAGATTGGACACAAACAGATAGAGGCTGAAGCTCCCTGAGAAAACAGATAAAGCAACCATTTTTACACAAACACAGGGGGCTTCACGTGTTAATCCAACAAAGACAGACATGTAGTGGAGTTAAAGCAGACAGATAAATGATGGGCAGATAATAACAGACGCTAGGCACCTCACCAGAGCGACAAAGATAAATGTGGTGGAGAGAGACAAGGGAAAAAGAGGGAGAGGAAAGAGAGAGGGGGGAGGCCATAGAATAAGCAAAACTGTGTGTGTGTGTGTGTGTGTGTGTGTGTGTGTGTGTGTGTGTGTGTGTGTGTGTGTGTGTTTGTGTGCGTGTCTGTCCTCTATGCAGGTCATGTAGGTCATGTTAAGAATAGTCATTCTGCAGACCACAGAACAATCCAAAGTTGGTGCAATTTAACATCTGTGAGAAAAAAAAAAAAAAAAGGAACACACTATATAGTATGTGGGTCACTTTATGCTTTGAACAGAGGCTGGTACGGACCTGTAACCTTAATGCTGTAAACTGGTACAGCACGGGTTCAACACATGCTCTCGCTTCGTTAGCATCAGCAGAGTCTTTTCACGAAATCCTAACTGGACAAACGTTTAATGAATAACAATACCTTCCTCTTTATTAATTCATCTCCTGATTCAAGAAGTCAGAGCTACACACTCATTCTTTATGCAAAAGAGCTATACAACTACCACTTACACTCTGCATAGATTTGAATTGGGCGAGTACTTTATTGCTTGGGTTAAGCCTCTTAACATTCCAATAGCCACTTTACAAACCAATTACGTCTCTTGTTTCCTAGTCTGTGTTAGCACATGGCACCAAACAAGGTTGTCTACTCTCACCCCTCCTCTTCGGAGTTGATGTGAAAAAAAAATGGTGGGGTGATATAAGCAAAACATACCTCTATGCCGACAATGCAGCGCTCTATTTGCAAACCTGTTATTTTCTAGTGAGGTGTGTTTGATCCTATGAATATGTTTCAGTGCTTCATGGAGGTTTTTCACACACTATGTAAATGGTAAATGGACTTGCACTTATATAGCGCTTTTCTAGTCTTACTGACCACTCAAAGCAATCTACAATCAAACAATCTACAGAAGCAATTTACAATCAGTCACTCACATTCATACATCACACTCATACACTAATGGAACAGCCATCAGGGGCAATGTGGGGTTTAGCATCTCGCCCAAGTATACTTCGCCATGCGGCCTGGAGGAGCCGGGGATCGAACCATCGACCTTCTAATTAGCAGACGACCCGCTCTACCTCCTAAGCCGCATGTAGATAACACGTGCCCTACATCTTCACTATGGCCTCAGTGATCCGGCCCCCTGCACGTGTGCATGGGTGAGGAAATAATGAAATAACAAGACATCACACAACTATGGAAAAGTCTGCGGTCATCCTGTGTCAAATCCTTCCCTATTTTCCATCTTTTCATTTGATAATACAGTTTAACAAAGTTCAAGAGTTTGGTGAGACAAAAAGTCCAATATGATACCATCTAAAAGTTACTTGTGGTATGTGTTTAATACTTTGATTTAGTTTTCAAGTGGCTGTTTCCGGACTTAATTATCAGATAGTCCCAATCTCAATAGCCTGTAAAAGTATTCCTGCTTCCAATGATCACACATTTCTAAAACGATCTTTCAGATATATCAAAAAAAAGTTTTTGTCTTGGAGAATAAAACATTTGTAGTATAACATTCACACAATTCACTCAAAGTCATTTTAAGTAAAACCAGACAAAATTCTAGACACTAGGACTAATGTCTATGCAAAATAAGTTTCTATTCGGCATGATTTCGGATTTTCACTGCCATGTTCTTCTGTCTGGCGAGACTGCATTTGGAGACCGATTTGAGATATGTGTTTTCTGTGACACAGAATCCATTCCTTTTTCGTAACCTTATCTGGTTTAAATTCATCCACCATGTCATTGGGACCAAACAAACCCTGTCTAAAATTTATTATGATATTGATCCCTTATGAGATCCTGTATTCTCAGTGCATATGTTTTGGCTTCTTTGTTTTTGTCCTTATCTGAGCCACTATATTAAGCTTTAGACCTTTGTCCAGTCCTTGCCCTTTTTGGCTTTTTACCAAAAACCAAACACCTCTCAGAACAACATGGAGATGCACTCATCTTCTCCACTCTAATTGCCAAGCAATTAATTATCTCAAACGAGAAGCATGCTAATCACCCTCCCATGTGCACTGCATAAGAGATGTAATGAACTGCCTGCATCTTGAAAAGATTAAGTCCACAAGGGAGGGCAGAGTGGATAAATTTCTTTCTACCTGAGAGCCATTGATTTCTCATTCCTCCTCTCTGGGCCCCAGCAAATTAACCCCTTCACTCTTCTCCCGAGATCTGAGAAAGAATGCTGACATAGGACTATTAATCTCTTTAAACAGTTAATCCTACAGTGGTATACCACACACCCTCTGATGTTCAATGTTGTTGTTTTTTTTACACCATATTGAATTTATAATGGTTACCCAATATAAAGTGTTACTCAGTATCTTCAGTGCTGTTATAAAGTGGCATGGTGGGTTTTAAATGTGAATTATATATGAAAATTGAGATTTTAAAAAATACTTCTGGTTAACCCAAAGCTGTAAATGGCACTGGAACTCAGCATGTGCTACATTCCAGCCCGACACAGACCAAACAATAATTGCGGATTAGCAGTGAGTCATCGCATACCTCTCTGAGACAATGCCATTTTGGTATGAAGCAATGTAGTGTTTTCGTTTGTCCACTGGCATCACATCAATGTATCCACCCACATCGTTCCTGACGACTCCGCCGTGGACTGCTGCCCGGCATATACTGGACTTCTACAAAGGAAAGGTAACACGGGAATTGTCGCTTCATTTATGTCTGTAAATTCATTAAAAAAAAAAACATGAAGAGGTTTTTTACCATTTCAGCTTCAAAAAGAGGGACTTACATCAGAGTATATTCCGGTGCCAATTACTCTGGATATGTGTGGATTCTCTTCTAAACAGCTTCTCGGGCAGTATACCCTACAATGAGAACAATTGCACATGGGTAATGACTAGAATTTACATAAATGTGGGAACCTTATGAAAGACAGTGACATGCAGGCAGACACACAGTCAGTTTCATACCTTGGACAGTGTTTTGCGGGCTTTTGGTATGGACACAGCTGTGCAACTGTGGTCTCACATGTGATGGCTTTGACTGTAGGAAAGAAATATGGTCAGTGCCAACAAACACAGCTGCAGCACAGCTTTTAATGAGCGATTTAATATGAAATGTAACATATCTGTAATTACAGTGTCACATCATTGTCAGACTAACCTGCGACTCTGGAAACTGTGAAGGAATTAGCACTTTGATATTTTCTGTCAAGAGAAAACACACAACGTTGACATGAAATGACATTATTTTCACTTAATGTCGGTATATTTTACCAATCTTGCTGTCAAATATCATCAGTTTGAATTATATTTATATAGTCCATGATGATATTATTGTCTCACCCTAAAGACTGGACCCCATTCTTGTTGGATTTGATGAAAAAATCCTTTCTGCCTTGTCGTGTTACATCCATCCACCCTCCATCATTATCTATAACACCGGCATGTAGACCAGCTCTGCACACACTGGATTGCTGCAAAAAAATAAAGAACATTAATGACATTTGACATGTGATGTCTTATGCAAAGACACTGTTGACACAACACAGCTGACAGCTGTTAATTGGCATAAAACTGAACCCACCCAATCAGACACCACCAACTTTTGAACTTGCACCAACTTGTGTACTCACCATTTCATAGTATACCGTCCCAACTACTTTTCCCGTCGCATCTAGGCACCCAGCAGGACACTCATATCTGTCCATTAACACAGAATAATAAGGTGAAATGTACCGTATACGCCACTTTGTGCTGTTGATTTTATCAGAGTTCATCTTAATTGTACCTATTGCATGGCGTTCCTTTACACTGATCCCGAAGTTTAGTGTCACAGGTCACAAGCTGAGCTGAAAAACACAAACATTAAGGCCTTTTCAGCGCTTGTACAGGAAACAACACGCATGAACTGGCAGCTCCGATATAGACGACTAACATCTAAAAGCCTGAGTTGAGTGAAACTCAGCGAGGGCTATTGTTGTGATGCTTCAGGAACCAAAGAGAAGAATTCCTGCCGCAAGGTTCAGGGTGGTCAGCCATAGTGAAGGAAGTGTCTCAGCTTTCAAGCGCAGGCCCCTTGCTCTGCGGAGAGGAAGCCATTTAAAAACCACAGCGAGCCCCTCTCACCCCTCAACCCCTCTCAGCCAAGCCAAAAGCAAACACACACTCAGGGGATCAAGCTAAAATAGACCTCCCCTCCCTGCTCCAAAGAGTGACTTGCAATATTAAGTACACTTCAGAAACTGTCAAGGTTAATCAGGGAGATGACAGATAAAGAGTACAGAAAATCAAGGCAATTTAAGATAAATTGCAAGAAAAATATTTCCGGTCAAGACCGATTTTTTTTGCACTTGTTATCCATTATTGCTTGTTCAACGCTGAGCTGGCAGTTATTCATAAAATCTTTGATTTTGACCCAGTTTTGAAAAGCAGTTTTCCCTTCTTTTTCTTTTATTTTTTTTACACTATATATTGTCCTATAATTCTTACCACTCTGCGCCTCCCATCCCTAAAACCAGATCCTACACCCCCCCGCATTTTGAGATGTAACTAGATCCAGAATAAACAGTTGAATGGCAGCTTACACATCTGCTGTGTGTTGACCACTTCATTCTTCTGCAGGTCCTCTGTGGGGGGCTTGGTGGGAGCTGGGGCGGGGAGACTGGGAGGCTCTGATTTGGAGGGCCGGGACCAGGGCTTCTGCGGAGTACGGGGGGCCTCCTGCTCGATGAAGTTGTTTTCTTCTGTTTCCTCTTGTGGAGGATAGGAACTGTCATCTTCAAGTAAAGTCACAAAAAGGTATAGTAAGCAAACAAAAAAATTCCACAGGCTTTCTTACTCTGTCTTTCTCTACTTTTCCTCACACGTACCTTTGTAGCAGACGTTGTCCCTGCAGCCACCTCCATAGCTGGGGGGGCAGGCAGAGCATGGGGTGCCATGTTTGTAAGGCGCATGCCCCCACCAGTTTCCCCTGTTCAGGTCACATAATAAGCAAGGCTTATTAAACAGAATACATACAACTTAAACAAAACTGCTTTGCTATTCCATACTGCTTTGCAAACCAAATGATACTGCTGCATCAAAAGGACACAAGGACAACTTGCTCTCTTGCAGCCTGTATCTCAGTCATGTATCTGTGAAAGTACATCAAAACAAATGTGCTTACTTGGGTGAGTAGTTGCAGACAAGATAGACAGCTTTGGCCCAAATCTGTCCCCACACATTCATGTTGTAACACAAGTTGATGGCACAGCCAATGCGACTGCTGGTGGCCCAGACCAGCTATAAAAGAACGACAAGATAGACAGTGAAACACAAATTACAGTACTGATTGTACAACCATAAATCTCTTGAATTTGTTCAAAATATACAAAATGGTATGGTATAATCCAGACCTATGGTGGCTACCTGTGTGTAATGAGTACAAACTGGGCCAGAGCATCTGAAGGGGCAATAGGGATTACACTCCTGAGGGTAAGGGAAAGAGAAGTCTTTCACTTCATCATACCAGGCCTGCACATGGAACGTGGGTGGACGATATCTGGAGAAATGAGTAACAAATGATAACAATGTTCAGAGCAAAAATTTCTATCGTCTTACATCTCTGTTGGTGTGGGAGTTTGTATTATACATCAAAGCTGTTTCCTGGTTACTGCAAGTCCTCTTTCAACAACCTATATGCATATATATGATATCCACAGAGTATCTGACCTTTATGTGTGGGCTTATATTTAAATAACTGCCAGTGCAAAACAAAACAACCCTTGCAAATATAAATGGCAAATGAACATTCACACATATCCCTTCCAAAACTGCAAAGTTTATAAAAGTGTATAGAGATATAGACGGTAGCTAAAGAGAAACATGGCTAGCTAGCTTCAAAATATGGCGTGCTTATTTGATGCAGAATGTGTATAAAAGGTAACAACAAAGTAATGTAAACATATCAGATAAGACTACTATTAAGCTGGAAGTCAAGCATTTGTGCTCTTTAAATAAACTGCAGCAAGGACTGACACTGATTTGGCACCAGGTGTTGCGAGTTAATCTAATTAGGATCAAGTGGACATCTTAACTGTGGAGTGATATGATTAGATGTGGAACAAGGGTCTCTTGTGTGAAGCAGTGCTGTGTGTAGATGCTCTGTGGGGGGTAGGGGTGGGTTGAGGTGTGTGGGTTTTTTTTTTTGGGGGGGGGCTGAGTGAACAAATGAACAAATGAACAAATGAAAACATGTAACAGTATCTCTAATGTGTGTGATTCTACGGACGATAAAACCAGTCTAACTTTGCCAGGTCGTCATGAGAGACACACTCAAGGTAGGTTAGCTCTATAGCTAGCCTTCTGTATACATTTGTTGGTGTTTTCAGTTATTGCAATTCTAATACAAAACGTAAGAAGTGGATTTAATGCATTTTACAGTGGTCAATGGTCAGATTGGTCATGAAAAGTAAAACAGTGCTGCACGCAAGCTAGCTAGCAGTTGTGCTAAACTAAAACTCACTGGCGTGTTAGCTATGGCTAAATTGTCTTGTTTTTTTTAATCAATACACAAATAGAAATGCAAAATGACAAGTTGTGGTTTTATGGGCAGTGTCAGCTTTAAACTATTTAAAATAAGACAATGAAGATAGCTTACTGTATGACTTACCAGTGTATTTCTTGTGCTCCTAGTCAGGTAAATATTTTCATGCTAGTGCATTTCCTGTTGTGTAACATTGCCAGGTCATGAGAGATATGCCTGTATGTGCTGGGTCTGAGCCAAATGTATGACTGTCTGTCATCAAGTCACACACAGGTGTTGACTTTAAAGACCCTCAACCTTTTACTAAATGAAAGTCTATATATTTTTCTATAATCTATATATTTTGAACTATTGTTTACCTTCCCCAGTGCGCTCCCAGGTTCTGTCCAATCTGTGGCAGTAAACCAGCAGGACCATGCTCCCACAAACAGGTCTCGGCCCACTCCTCTGCTGTACGCTCCAACTCTGTGTCCCACACCTGCACAGACGATGAGACAGCACAACAAAATGAGGTAATTATTGGATTATATGCGGAGAGTGGAGGAAATAAACTGAAATAAACAGTGCAATACAATGCCACTTGGATTTCTACTTATTGGCCATAAGATACAGGAAAGTCTAGTGGTTAACTGGAGAGCTTCACTGTTCTTCACTTCTTCACTGCCATTTAAGTTAAGCCTAGGAGCTGCTGTGGCTATGTAACTGCACTGATTTCTAGACTAAATGCAGAACTACAATATGTCAACCTCTTGATGCTGCTGTATAAAGAGCTTTCCGACTTTCTTACTTCCCTGGATGGGTTTTTCCGTAAGATTGGGTGTTATTCAAAAAATGCAAAAGCTGTTTTTCCTTAAGTAATACCTTCCATATGTCTCTAGTGAGATGTCTGGGTGCAAGCTTTTGTTTCACTTTACCTCTCTCTGAATTGCCCTCTCAGTCAAGTTTGGCTCTGGTTGGATACTAAGGGATCATATTCCCATTCTGGGGTTTTCTGGGAATGCAAAGAGTGTCCTTCCTCTCTGCTGACCTAAATTCTACCATAAAAAAAATGTTAGAATAACACCAGCTGTAATTCCTCTGAAGGACACTGTATGTTCCTTTAATTGCACACCTTCACTTTCACCTTTGGAGTGGGATTTCTATTGCAACAGGTTTTCTATGAGGAAGTTAATTAGTTTGCATGTGTGTGTATAAATGTGTGCGCACATGCGCTGGTATACCGATGCAGGTGTCAGAAGTTTTCATATTTCACACATTGGGCCTGGAAGCCATAGCCTACCCTCTCTGAAATCTCATCCAATAACAGACACTAAAATAACTCCCTCGCTACCACCACCACCACCACCACCTCCGCCTCCTCCTCCATCGTCCATCACCCACTTACAGTCCCACCAGAAACAACTGCTGGTCTCTGCATTATGCCCGAAACACACACACACACACACGCGCGCACGCACGCGCGCACACACACACACACACACACACACACACACACACACCTAACAACAGGATGTCTGGCAGTGCTGCAAATTAACTCTTACCTCTGAGCAGTTTCTTTTACTCTTTGTTGAGTGGATGTATTTATTTAAATCAACAACACCGGCAATATTGGTTGAGTCATACACAGTGAGGTATGTCAGATTTCAGGACAAAGCCTTACAGACTTGTTACATAACTGGCACATAGAACAAATAAACAGCTGGAGGTGTGGAGTATATTTTTCATTCATCGCTACACCTGCGAAGAGGGAGTGTATCAGTGTTATAGCCACCTCATATGTAGCTGCCTGTGGTCCGTCTGGCACAATAATGATAAATGATGACTGACAGGGCCAGGGCTAAAAGAGGAATGAGAATTTGTTTACCTGAAACTGTATCCCTGCTCAGAAATTACCTCTGTTGGCAGTGAGCTGCAAATCAGTGTCAGTATGTCAGCATCGTCATATCTATTTTGTAGTCATCCCTTTTTTTTAACTACTACAAAAAGCTAATGATGCTGAAACACAAACATTGAAAAGATTTAAGCTTGGCTATCATCAGTAGTAGCTGAGAGAACCTTGATTTCTATCCACATCATTTTCGATTTTCTCAACAAGTGACCTCCTTGCCCTATAAAATAATCAATGTTTACACTGATAAGCAGAGTGGAACACAATGTATTGAGCTGTGGTATCTGCCAAATGATCTGTAAACCACAGCACATAGGACATTCTGTACAGGAGCAGGGTCAACACAATAATGATTTTGACCATTAATGAATGGTTATGGGTCTGAAAACATTTATCTATGACCACAACTAAGGTAGGTTTCCAGTCAAAAATCACCCAAATTCTGGCTACAGCGTGTTGTTTGGGAATGTTACTGATTATGGGTTCTATCACAAAGACATGATTTGCGATGTCCGTGAAGTATATCTTAAATTATGAAAATACAAATAGCACCTTTCCAGCTGAGGAATTCATTCCGTCGTCTTCCAACTTGCAGAGAGAGCAGGCTCAGAGAGTGTCGACCGCGTTACACATGTTTCGGCTGTTGAACCTGGTACAGAGCGCAGCCGGCTTGTCAAGCTGCTGTTTGTACAGTTAGCCCAGCAGGGGAGGCCTCGCAACCAAGACCCCCCACCCCCCACCCCCACCCACCCACTTACCCCAACCGCACTTCTGCTGGGGCCCCGTAAAGAAAAACACCTCCCTTGCTAAAGTCTTTCAGCACTGTGCACGCTGCATTGTTTATTTCGCTTAACACCTCATTTGTGGCCGTTTCTCTTTTTTCCTCTTCCTTGGTCATCTGGTTGCATTCCAAAAGGTGCAGAGGGGTAGTTCCTTTGCAAGTTTGGGTTTCCTGTTCATAATCAATGGTGCATGCAGAGAAGTACTGAAAAGAAGGGGAAAGATATGGGAATTGGAGAAAGTGAAGCTGAGAAAAAAAGTCTGACAGAATAGAGGAGAACAGGCGATATGGTGTGAGGGAGAAGACAAGGAGGTAAAGGGGTGATTTAATAAGCTTAGAGGTACGAAAAGTAATAGTAAGAAATACTATACATGACATTAAAAAAAAAAAAGTTTGTATGTCCTTTGCCTGCCCAAACTATGACTATCATTTCCACCAGTGATATAGAGTATATACTGTATGGTGCTGCATGTGTTTGCTGTGCCATTTTTGTGCAGTGCAATCCAGCCCACATCAACTCACATCAGAGAACAGCATAGCCAGTTATTGTATGCTGAACGTGAACAGGAAGCTGTCTCACTTAATGGCACCATAAGTGAGTCAGACAAGTAAATGGTTGGTTTAGCCTGCTATTTTGGTTTGGTCTGATATTTGGCTTTATTATATCTCAGAAATAAAAATAATAATAACAATAAAAAAAAGCCTATCAGCTACAAAAACATAAGTACCTCCAGAGTTCAGCTGCACAAAAGCAGTCTGTTTTCCACTTTTCCTTTTCACATTTCATTAATCAATAATGGTGGTTGGCGCTTGTTGCTACAATCCAAGAACCTGGTGCTGGACACTAGCAGTGAGAAGCTGAAGAAGAAGAGGGCCTTTCTCAGCTCTGCTGACACATGCAACTCCAGAATCAGCGCTCCCACAGAGGTTTTACAGAAAGTTGTTGAGTCAGGAGTGGAGGGCAAGACTTTGAGGAGCTCCTAAATGCAAAAGACATTGCCATCTGGACAGGATGCAGAACTGAGTTTCTGATTTGATCTATGGCCAAAGGGGTACTGGTCCCCGTTTTCAAAAACGGGAACCAGGAGGTGTTTTCCAGGAGTGAAGATATGCCAAGGACAAGTAAAGAAGACATTAGGAAAAGTTTTTAGCCTTAAGTTAAGGGATATAAGTTTAGTCTTCATGGGCACGAAGCCTCTAAGCTCAAGTATCTGAGGGATCACTGGAATTTGCTAATTTGATCTACATGTGTTTTGTGCCCCTGCAAACTTTTATGACCATGTTCCCTGAAGTATTTAGGGAAGGTGCTACTGAGAGACTTTCACTCTAAGTGCATTTGGCACAAGGGCTATGTTTACATTCTTGGCATTACATTAAGCATGTTCAGCGTCAGCTTTGGACTCCCACTGGGATACACCTCGTTCCCCTGTCTGTAATATTCGTGGGTACAACGCAGATGTCCAGTTTGGTGACATTAAAGTGGCCTCTTTGCTATTTGGGATAATGTCTTTTTGGTTTTTCACTGGAGCATGAGCTTGGGTGTGGAATAGAGCAGTCTTAGAAGATACACATACCATAGTATTCAGCTGCTGCTCTTTACATCGAGAGAAGTCTGTGGATGTGTTTTGAGCACCTGTTTCGGATCTCCCTGGGCGCCTCCCTTTGGAGGTTCTCTGGATATAACCAGCTGAGAGGAGACCCTAGGGTAGACCCAAAACACACTGGAGAGAACCCATCCTCCACCCGGCCTGTGAGCACCAAGGGATCCTGCAGGAGAAGCTGTACAAAGTTGCTGGAACAAAAGATGTTTGGACTGCTCTGCTCTGTTTTACCACTGGAGTCTGATAATGACTTTGTAAATTTATGTATTTGGCACTTTCAATAATCTAAACCAGTTTTTTCCAGCAATGAAGCTGCCTAAATACTGTCTCAGATGTTTGTCCACATGACTTAATTACAACATAATTAAAAAACATAATTAAATGTCTTAGATAATGTTAATTGAAGACAAATGTATTAGTCCAGACCTTAATTATTGTCTCATTGGGCTTGACAGGTTGTGAATCACAACAACCACATTATCCAACAATGATAGACAGATGTTTGCAGCACAACTCTGAATCATCCTGAGCAGAAATATGTCAATACAGCTTTATCCTGGACCACAAATATCACCACCACCAAGTGCAGCCCAGCAAGGCCAAGTTAAACATCAAGGCAGGTGAGGCCCTTTCTCCCAAGATGCCGTCTGTTTGTCTTACAGCACTTCAAACACTGACACTTCTGTGTTTATACCTGTGGGTCAACATTTGAGTGAGAGGCAGAACTGCTGTCCCCCCCCCCCAACTGAAGCTGCATTGAAGCTTTGTGGATCGCTACAGAGTGTGAATACTTATCCGGGGAATTTTTAGGGCCTCTGTGTTGGATAATGACAGAATGGGAACGGAGCCACAGGGATAAGAGAGAGGGAGGCAGAGAGAGAGAGGGCAAGAAAAGGAAACAGATGAAGGGGGAGGAAAGAGGGGGATTTGAATTGATGTTATCTCTGAGTCTCTGTGATGATTGCCACAGAGGGTCACTCGGGTTATGGTTTCATACAATGGCAGACAATAACAGAGCTGATGGGCAAATGGCAATGTATCTGAACTAGGTTTTGTGTGGGTGTGTGGGTGTGTGTGTGTGTGTGTGCATCTGCATGCATGAGTGTGTAGGGAGAGCAGAGGAGCATGTCTATGAAGTCTTCCAGTACAGTGAAGCTGTGAGGTTTCTGAAAGGTGACAGCAGTTCAACAGAGAGAGGGAAAATCGGAGAAATATGGAGCCCCTTTCAAAATAAAGCACAGAAAATCACAGAAAATTCACTTTACAATTTGACCTGAGCAGTGTGGTACCTGAAAGATACTGACATCGACCTGCAAATAAGATTTCGGCACTTATTCCTACATGTCATTGTTTCTTCTTACTGTGCATCCCTTCAAAATGAATCTTTCTTTTCGTATTTCCTCTTGCCTCACTTTTAGTAAACCTCCTCATCTTCTTTTCAATTATTTTGACACCTGTTTTGCTCTTCTCTCTCCCTCCATCTGTTTTTCATTGCCTCTCCATTCTATTTGCAAATCTCTTTCACACCTCTACTCTATCTTTATTTACCTATTGTATTCCTTGCTAACTTTCCCTCTCTTTCTCTCACCTCACGTCCTCTTGTTGCATGCCTCTCCATATTTCACCCCTGGGTGCCCCTGCAGCTAAAAAAACCGGCCAACTGTAACAGGAGACAGTAGAAAGGAGCTGTACACTGCCGGCTCAGCATTTCTCCACTAGAGTGTGCCTCAACCAGAAGCCTGCCAGGCAGAGCTTCACACACACACACACACACACACACACACACACACACACACACACACACACACACACACACACACACATAAAGGGTCCCCAAGTCCAACCTCTCAATTATACAATTACACAGTCCAGCAATTGCCCCCAGCACGAACTGTTTATTTGCCTTTACCATAGAATAATACTGCCTTTTGTTCTGCAGCTCTTTAAGTGTAGATGAAAGGATGATAAAACCTCATTATCCTCTGCACACTGTATTGATTTTTAACCTCCTAAGTGCTGTTGGTGGCAATGCGCTGTTGCGGTCAAGCAGCACCTACACATGTAGTGTATTTGGAAAACTTCCAGATCTGTAGAGCACTAACTTTTAGAAGGTGTGGTGTGCTTGTGTGAGTATGTGTGTGTTTAGTGGGGGGTGAGACAGCTGGTAAAACAAGCCCTGGTGCCGTGCTCTGATTCTAATTGCACTGTGAAAAGTGATCTGGCGCTGTACACACACGTGATGGCCAAAGGATAAAGTCAAACAAATCTGTTGAGTATGAGTTAAAAAAACCTAGTAGTAATGTGATCATTGGCAAGTTGGTGGAATTCTTCTCTTCTGGCAAAACAACCAAAGTCACATGGGTGTGTGTTTGGGTTCATGTGTGAAGGTGCTTAGATGCTGGCATGCTGCTTGTGAGTGAGCCAAGTGGGACAAGTGCCAGAGTGGTCTGGTGACTGGGTCAGTTCACTGAGCTATATGGCCCACAAGTGCGCAATACTCTTGGGGAGTTCAGAATGGGGTCAAAGCATTTAAACACATATAAACCCCATAAAGTATAAATGTAGTACTTCATGGGAATTGATTTTAAGATGCACAGATGACTTCTCGGCATTCTCTATCCACCTACCATATACTCCATGTTGGAAGCAGGAGGGTAGACCTGGCCTCTGAGCTTGTTGTGAAGGTCCAGGATGAGCTGTGCGTCACTGTCGGTGATAGCCCTCTTCCCCCTCTGCTTGGCCTCCCACCAGTCCCCATCTTCATCCAAATACTTGTCCAGAATCTGCTGCCAGCCCGTGGAGTTAGGAAGCATCACCATGGAAGTGGCTGTCTGGAGAAGCAGGAGCAGGGACACGCCCTTCAGCCAGCATAGTGTTGCGTGCCTCATCCTTGGAAATGCGGGTGATAGCGACGGTGGTGATCCTCTCAAATTCAAGTGGGACGGGTTGGTTAAAGTTGTGTGCCAGCAGCTGGCAAAGGAGCTGAGAGGAGGGAGCAAAACAGGATTATTGGATGGACTGGAATTGGTGTTCTGTATCAAATTTGCTGAATAACTTGGGTCAATATTGAACTTGGTGAGGACAGTGCATTGGCTTGCAGACACTTGGTCTGGTGGAGAGCCACGGGTAAGCTCATGGGGTTCACTGAGGGTAAGCTGGCAGGCTGCGGATGACTAGTCCAAGTGTGGATGAAAGAAATCCCTACTGGTGTTGAACTTCCTTGAATATTTTACAACTTTTTTCCTAAATCAAGAAGCAGCGGGGAAAGCTTGGGAGCTGTTAAAAAAAAAAAAAGAAATGCTGCATTTCAAATCACAGCAAGGAGTACAGCTGTAACAAATGTAGTTGAGTGCACAGAGTGATTCATTATGTAGCTAATGTATCCACAATATTGTAGCCTATGTATGTATACTTTATGCTTTCGGTATGCATGCTGCAATGCTGACGAAGGCTGATATAACGAGCCAATACCTAATGGAAAAATGTAAAAAGTAATGCATATTGAAATAGAAATGGAGTGGTGTGATCTAATGTAGACTTTGGAAATAATTTACCTTTAATGAATTGGAATACAGCCCGTTTCTTCTGATCCTGACAGAGATCTGGCTGTGAGAAAACTTCTGCAGCAAGAAGAAGAAGAAAGGAAGAAAAAAAAATCCGCCTTTAAAGTTGCAGAGCTCAGGTGGAGCGGTGATGACTGTCGCTGGCTGCCATATGATATAAATCAAAGCTGTGATGTGGTCGCTTCACTCCGTTTTTCATCAGTTTGAAAGAGAAAGTTGCTCTTTCTTCTTTCGGGATTCTTGCACCAAAGCTGCTAAAGCATCACTTATCCACATTTTATCCTCAACTTGGCTGCGCTTCGAGAGTGCCGCCCTTGACCACGCCTCTCCAAAGAGGGAAACGGCCCACTTTTCGTTCATGCCAAGACTTTAGTGCGCGTCCGGGTTCGTGCGTGTAGTCTATACAGTTTAATATAAGCAGAATCCATTTTCTCTCTCTCTCTCTCTCTCTCTCTTCAGCATGGTGCTCAGCAAGTTAAACCTGAGCCTTTCTCACACACAAATGCACGTAACGTCTCTATTACCCAGAAAAACAGACAATCTAATAATATTCCTGCAGATACTTCTATTGTTTACTGTTCTCAATAGTAAATTTATATTGACCTTACTACTAAGTTATTGTTTATGAGACTAGATCGTCAATATACCTCTATAATCTTAAAAAATATCCCTCTTGATTGCTTAAAATCTTAAGTATTATTGGCTAATACTTGATATTTATCTTATCAAGGATTACCATTATTCATTTCATAATGACTCTTTCTTAGAAAAGTTGTTGTTTCACTGTTCCTCTTACCTGGTTAGTGACTGTTGGTCAACAATATATGTATATTAACTTAAACCAGACCTGCCTCGTCTGTGGGGCCTTGCAGCAAAAGTGGCCCCATTCTCCCGAGCCTAACTGTTCACAGGTGACTCCTTGGGGGGATTAAAACACAAACCAACTCTCTGTTAATTTCAAGCCCTGAACTTGTCGTCACTGTTTCCCCCTCCCCGGCTGCAACACAGTGTAAATTCCATAATGGAAACAGGCAAGTTTTGTCTTTTGTCATCTGGTCATTCTCAGTGGTAGCTGTGGCACATGTGGAAACAGTAGCTAATCACCAGGCCTCGGCCCCCTGTACAGACTTACTTTCCACTGGGGGGGAGACACAATTTTCTTGTATTTTACCTGACAAACATAATAAACCAAACGTTGGCCAAGCCGGCATTGATTTTGCTCTATGTCTTTTCAGTAAATCCCCTTGTTTCCATGACTCCCTGATGTTTTTTTTTCTATTTTGGCCCTCAGCCCTTATGCATCAGGTGAGTCTTGTATTAAATAGACAGCTCTCTCTTTCTCTGTCTCTCTGTCTCTCTGTCTCTCTGTCTCTCTCTGTCTCTCTCTCTCTCTCTCTCTCTCTCTCTCTCTCTCTCAGTAAGATTTGTAAGATTCATCAATCAACACAATATGTATTGGATAGTGGGGATGAGAGGATAGAACACACTAATACAGGTAATACTAAACAACACAGTCTACAACACAGTCATACAAGAATATGTATCCTCTCTATCTTCTGTGTATCGTCATTGGATTGTTAACACTGATGCATCGGTAGCATGTCACCATTGTAGCTGGTTGAGGTGGAGTTGGTTTAACTACTTTATATAAAGTTAGTTTAAGCCAGTCAAGTGTAGGGTCGGGCCCCCTCCAAAGGGTGGCAAGATAAATCAGAAAAGGATGTGAGATGATTAAAGTGGAACAGACAGAAGTAAAAAGATAAATTTTATGCCACAAATTTGTATTCACACTGTGGGCTTCTGTCTAATCTTTGCTTTTTTGCGAAATAATGGATGAGTTTATCTCTTTGGGCCTTAAATAGTTATTTAAATTATACAATTTGAGAAATTAAAGAAGGGAAAGAACAAAAGTTCTTTAAATCTGCCTGAAATGTTATAAAGTAGCATTAAATGGAAATATGAGTACCTCAAGAGTACAATACCTGAGTAAATGTACTTAGTTACATTCCACCACTGCCCCTTGAAGATGCACTAATGCAGTGTGTGCTGGACATTACAGACATGTATAAAATCCTCTCTTTTTTTGGCACCTCTGCTGTCTAACCTACTTCTGCAAATGTGATACAAGGGCTCTCACATGAGGGACCCACCGCATTCTGAACTTCCATAAACCCAGGGTTTACTGTCTGCTCCCTGGGTCAGTAGCAGGGGCCTCGGCCACAGCCCCAGCAGCGGCCCTCTCCCTGCGGTCAGACCCGGCAGGCTTCCCCCCTTCTCTTCCACCGCAGCTGAAATAGCAACGCTCTCGCTTTGCTCCCAGCTCCCAGGAGGGAAGCGCCGCCGAAAACACTCATTCATCTGCTACAGAATTAATGCTGCTCTACATTTAGATGTGTGTGTCTGTGTGTGTGTCTGTGTGTGTGTGTGTGACAGTAAGAGAGTGAGAGTTGAGGCAGCAAAGGAGCGACAGGGTGCATGTCTGTGTGTTTGACAGGAGTGAGCACTGAGTGTGTGTGTGTTGGTACACATGCCTTCATAACATAAATAAATGAGTCAATACATAAAACATGTAATTATTTTAAACACTCAAAATAAGTTTTATGGCCTTTGGATATGAAATGACTTATATTACATTAAGGTTACAGCTGAAATATACAAAGACTGACTGTTAAAGCATGTCTCTGACCGTGAATAGGAAAATGAAATTGTGTGGATAAAAGAAATATTTACCAACTGCTCAGGGATTTCTATGATTTACAGTGTGGTAATTTAGGTCAGGCCATCTGTAACAGACCAGACATTCTCTGATTAATGTTTATTACAATGCCTGCCAGTAAATATACACTATTTGTGCCTGCAGAGGAGCAATATAAATGATTTCATGCTTGGGCTTCTGGTATTAGCAGCCTTTCATGAGATTTCTCTCTATCATCCCTTCTTTTTTTTATTGCATCTGTTGTTTTCTGTCCATCGTCGTATTTCATATTTTTCTTTTCTGTTACTTGACCCACTCTCTGTCTGTTTCTGTCTACACACACACACACACACACACACTTTCCCTATTTGTGTCTCTGTCACACAAACATTAACTTTCCATTCCTCTGCTTGTCTTCCTCTCTCTCTCTCTCTCTCTCTCTCCTTCTCTCTCTGTTGCCCCCTTCTCATCTTACTATCTCACCCACACATTCACTGCTCATCCACATGTTCTATGCGTTACCTCCATTCAGCGCATGGTCTTGCGAGAAACCCCATGAACCTTGCAGAATGCATGAGCTGTGCCAGACCCCCGCATCCACACAACAGCAGCCTCTGGACGTCACAGCAAACCGCACAAACACTCTCGAAGAACACTTTTTGTTGGCCCACGTTATCTGGCACATTGCTCCCTAATGGTTCTGGTTGAGCTGAATTGAGGTCAGAGCGTTGGAACGGTGTCGGGGTGAGAACGGGAGTAAAGAGCATCAAGGTCATTTGGCAGACGTTCTACATCATTGCTTTTTGTGACATTATCAGCAGTGTTCAGCAGGAGGCGGCCTCAGATATTCACTTCAGGTCAGTCTGGGTTTAGTTTGTCTGCCTCTACCCCCTGGTGGTACATAGATGTCAATGCACGTGTGAGCAGAGAACACAATCTTGTACTGTAATTTGATTCACAGGTGCTGCTGCAGGCATTTAGAGTTGTAATGAGTTTTTCAATGGCTGGTTCCAAGTGAAACATAGGACTGCTATGTACGAAATAGCAGTTATTTCCCATTGCAGCAGTGGAAACGTCTAAAACAAGGTATACATTTGATGTTTTAATAACATGATCACACTGAGTACAACAATGTCCTCATGTGACACACAGCAGTCAGTTGAATTCCTCTTGTGTTTTTACTCCTGAGCAATGGTGACTTTACCTTTGATAGATATTATTGTAACATAAGGCTTTCAAGGAATTTTGTCAGGAAATGCGTGGACATGGTATAAGGAAATGCAGGGAAACAGCAAGCTCTTCACATAACCACCAGGTGTCAGTGTCCTTCAGCATACAAACAGCATGATATGACTTGCAGACATAGGTGCATCTCTATGTGGAATTAAGTTTAAAAAATTTTTTTTTAAAAAGCAAAAATTAGCTCATGATGACGAACTAAAATGTTTCCGCTCCCCCACTTTTCAACCGCAAAGGGAAACGTGGGCAAATTTTTTGCAAGTCTGAGGCACTTTATTGATTCCCTCAGTATATTTCAGTCCGATCTTGAGCAAACAAAAGGGCCTAAGTTTTGGTAAACTGATCATGTAGAGGCACTGGGAGCTGGGGGAATTGTGGGTACCCCAACCCCCCCTTGTTTTATGTCAAATTGTGTGTTTTCTCCTTTGTGTTGAAGTTTTCTATGGACTGCTGCTTGTGGTGCAAACCAACAGAAACCAAGAAATTTCACAATCATGCCAAATTACAGTCTGGTCTTATGTCAACTAATATCATCTTCTAGATAGAATGCAATAATCATGCATTTTGTTGGATTTGAAATGTGGGCTGGTTCGCCACATTTGGATGTCAAAACACTGTCTCTTTGACCTACAGTTGTTTTTATGAGCTGAGGTAATAAAAGAACGCTTGTTTTTTTTTTTGTTTTTTTTTTGTGAATTTCTTGTGTTTGAACAGAATGTCCTATTTGGAGGAATTATATAATGCTACGATACAGCATGAGAGCAAAGAGGTCGGTGCACTTTAAGCCAGTATCAGCATCAAAGCCTCAGTGAGCTTGTTGACTACAGGTATAAAAGAGAGCTGAGAGCGAAGGAGGGAAGCCCATCTGATTATGCGGCACTTTCCCAGCACTGTGCTTCTGAGAGGACATTGATTTTGGCCCACGTCTTTCTGCTGCAGGATGTCGCTCGTCTGAAGTCCCTGCTAGGCCCCGCGAGGAGGCTAATGTGGCGCCGTCCAAGACAAAGACTGCAGTAGGATATGGAGGGCAAACACAGAACACGGGCCACCTTTGCACCAGTTTGTGTTCCTAGACTGAACCAGAAGGGTCAGGCCTAGTCTGGCTCAGGGTTGGACATACTGCAGAGCTATTCTTA